ATTTTTTGGTTGATTAAATAACTCATTAATATAACTGAAAAAGACAAGCATTTAAATAGGATGTTTAATTAATATAACTGAAAAAGACAAGCATTTAAATAGGAAGTTTAATTAAATTCTCAGTGGCATATGAGTGTAAATAAGTTGGAAAATTTAGGGGTATTTTTTAGTGGGTACTTCTCTTTTAATAATAGAGATATGTCTGTTTTTGAAGTTTAAACCTTGTTGCTTATTTTGAAATTTAAACAATTTTATAAAGTTGTTAGTTACTAGTTTTAACTTGTTTAAGGTTTTTTCTGTTTAATGAAATTAATCCAAAACTTGTTAGTGAAATTGTTTAGACTTGCCAATTTCGTAAATTAAGATGTGTAATTTTGAATCATAATCCAGTATTTGGATAATCAGAATATGTTGTAGAACCGAATCTAAAGTCAAAATAGGTTTAACGATATTTGATGACAAAAAAAGTGTTTACGGTGTTATACTATACCCAAACCGAATTTAAGTAATTTCAATATGAATCTGACTGAACTTAAAAAGTATCTGAATAGGGTCAAATTCCATATATTTCAAAAACTGAAACATAATTGAAATGAATTGAACCCGGTTAAACACCAACCATCTATGCTTAAGAAAATAGGGAGAACAAGTTTTAAGATATAGTGGAGATAAAAACAGTGAAAACAAAATTTATTATTGTGAAATTCTTGTTAAAAATAAGCAATTTATTTTACTATCACAGTAATTGAGAAAAAGATTAAATGTTACTATTATTTTATTATTATAACTTCCTTGATTTTTTTCTTAATAAATGTAGTTTTAAAAGATATAAGTTAATAATTTAAATCGTCTTAAAATCTTAGGCGGCATTTGTTTTATAACAGAAATAAATTTTTACAATGACATTTAAAATGGTACGGGGAAATTATCAGATAGAGACATAAATACATGTTCCAGAGAGGGTTATTGTACGGACGCTTTGCATCGGAAGAAAGAGAGTTTGGTGGGAAGGGGAGGTGAGGGTTTGGATTTGGATTTGGGATGGGGGAAGTAGGAGATGGGTTTGGAGGGTTGTTGGAAGCAGAGTGTCGCTGCCATTGATGAGAAACAGGTCAGTGAGATCAGATGAAGCTAAGAACAAATATAAGAGAGGGAGGAACAAACGTGGCCACCTAACCTAATGTGTTCTGTTTTTTATTTTATTTACCGGTAAAGCTTATTGCTTTTTTAGAGTGGAGTGTGAGATCAGATTCAGATAGCTACATTGAAATTAACGGCTTAACCACGGAAACCTCTAAACCGAAACCGGACCGGATAGCAAACAGTGGTAACCTACCAATATTTAAAGAAACCAAGCTCCAAGACATCACCAGGAGACACAATGATGAATGGTTAAAGACTCTGAGAAAGCTCTTAAATGATTCTCTACACTTGTTTGTTTTTCGGCTTCTTTGTTTTTTTCTTAATCTTCCTAAGCATTTTTTTTGTGTGCTAAAGAAAAAAAAAATATTTCTCTTTCTAGTTTTTTTTTTGTTTTCCTGACTTTCGTTCACGTGGTATTCACAACATATACTAATTTTGCTTAATCATCTAGGCTTGGTCAATCTGGTATTCGGTCTGGTATCGATTCGGTTTTTTTCGATTTTCGATTATTCGGTTTATAAAAATTAACTACCATATTGGAATCATATTTAATTTGGTTTGGTTCGGTATTTATACTACCAGTTTTCAGTTTATTCGGTTTTATACCAAATAACATTATTATTTGATTTGGTTTCATATTATAAGAATTTTTTTTAAAAAAAACATATTGCCAAAACTATCATTTATTAAAATAATCCTAGGTGTTCATAAATATAAAAATGTAAAATTAACAACAAACAGAACGATCAACGATTCAGTTTTGTGCAGCTTTTCTTATTTTCTCTTTGTTTTTCCAAATAAATTACATGGTATAATTTAATTTCACAATTTCTCACAACATGCAAAATCAAATCAAATTTAGATAATAGTTGAAGAAAATAGAATTAAATTATTAAGATATATCTCCACGAGTAAAAAAAGTAAAAATAAAAGACTATTCCAAGAAGATAAATGGTTATATAATGTATATATTTATATATTTTTTCTTTGATCGATTTTGTTCGGTTTATTCGGTTTAATCGATTTTAAACCTAACCATATCCAAATCCTACGGTTTTTATAAAATCATATCCATTCGGTTTATATGGTATATACCAAATCTAAATCATATTGTCTATATCGGTTTGGTTCGGTACGGTTCGGTATTACCATATTGAACAGCCTTGCATATAATATTTTTCAGTTGAGATTACAATAATCAGTGTAACGAAACCATTTATATAATAATAATATAAATAGAAAACTTTTGAAGATGATATCGACCAATTGCCAACTTTGAAAGCCATGTTGGACTCTCTCGGCTAAACCCATTTTGGACTCATATAACCACTAGTTCAGTACATACTAATATTTATTTTGTTTGAATAGTTTAGTTAGAGAATCTGAGTCGAGTATATATTTGAGTAAAAGCAAGTCGTGCTCAAAAACTTCAATAAGCCATAGCCAAAGTCAATCAGTTTTGGAGTTTTGTTGCCAGAACAGTCATTGCTTTGTCATCTCGTGTTCTGAAATCAGGCCGGCTCAACATTTTTTCGAGCCTCGGGGTAAATGAAAAATATTAAATTTTAATATTTATTTTATTAAATTTAAATATATTTTAATCTTTTATCTTTGATCTTTATAAAATTTGGGATGCAAATATATTATATACACATAATATTTTTGGACCATTTTCACCTAAATTAATAAATATTTTTATTCTTAATCTTTATAAAATTTGTGATGAAAAATATATTATATACACATAAAATATTTGTGGGTCTTTTTCACTTAAATTTAATAAATTTTTTAAATTTTTATATAAAAAAATATGAAAAAATATAAAAAATATTAGACCTCTTAATTGGTAATATATAGGGGATACGGATTTGGACCCGGGATAGTCGCACTGTTTGTCCTCCTCTGAGCCGGCCCTGTCTGAAACATTGACTTCTTTTCTTTGATTAACAAAACCCATTGTGGATTGTTTTTGTTTGATTCATTTCGGATAGAGCTCACACACTGCATATAACAGAGTAAGTAGCAAATTCATATTGGGATACCAATTTGAATTTGAGTTTTCTTGCTCATCCTTATTACACACACACATTATGAATCATTAAAATTTAAGATTCATGAATCAAACATAACCAAATAAACCCCAAAAATAACTTAATTTATTTCTTGAATTTTTTCTAAATTTAGGTTTTTCCTGATATAATTAACAGATTACTATATAGCTAATCTGTATAATTTTCTTATATAAATATAGAAACAAAGCAGTACCAAATTAAACACATTCACATGCTATGAAAGATTGATAACCATACCATGAACATGCATGTTACATGTTTTAAGGTAATAAATACGAAGAAGTTTGATTACCCCACATGAGTTTGGTCATTCTTTAACAACAAATAGACATAAAATATATTTAGATTGAATCAGCAAGATGACCAACTTCGCTGACGTAATAGGTGTCGTCATCTTTTAGTTGTTAGTGCTACTGCACTTCTCTATAATAGTCAAACCTGTGTGAAACAGAACAGAACAGAGAAGAAACACAACAACAACAACAAAAAATGGAGATTAGAGAAACAAAACCAGTGATCTTTCTCTTTGTTTTCCCTTTACAAGGTCACTTAAACCCTAATTTTCAGCTTGCCAACATCCTATTCAACAAGGGGTTCTCCATCACTGTGATTCACACTGAGTTCAACGCTCCAAACTCAGCCAACTTCCCTCACTTCACTTTTGTGTCCATACCTGACGGTTTGTCTGAATCCGAAACCTCGAATCCTGACGTCATCGAGCTTCTCCATGACCTCAATTCCAAGTGTGTTGCTCCTTTTGGTGATTGCTTGAAGAAGCTTCTGTCTCAAGAACCAACTGCTGCTTGTGTGATTGTAGATGCTCTTTGGTACTTCACTGATGGTTTAACCGAAAAGTTCGGTATACCGAGGATGGTTCTCCGGACGGTTAACCTCTCAGCTTTTGTCGCGTTCTCAAAATTTCATGTCTTACGAGAGAAAGGGTATCTTTCTCTGCAAGGTATGTACCAGTAGGTTATAGTCAAAATGATTTTCTTTAAAAAAATGGTTCTACATTTTTTTAATGAAACTATAATGTTAGTGCAAATCTATATATTAGTCTGTTTTTTTAGTTTTGTATATCAAAATAATTCATAATTTGTCTAATTATTTTGTATCTTTTTTTTTTTGATTTATCAAAATAATTTTACTAATTAGAAACAAAAAACTAAATATCTAATATAAACATAAATATATTAATATTTGTTAAAGCTTAATCATCTAAATATTGAATATTCTATCTAGTAATGTTCTAAAAATCGGTCTAGATAACGCATAGACGTCTCTAGGCGGAAATTCCCCTCTTAAGAAAACAATTTTCTTAAAATCCGATTTATACAACTCATGTCCGTTTAAACTATTTAAATCGTTTTAAATATTTAAACTATTCAAATCGATTTAAATTGTTCTAAATCAGTTGCAATCGGTTTAAATTAGTATAAATTTGTTAAAATAAGTAAAATATGTTAGTAAAAATTACAAATTTGTGTAATTTATTTTATTTTGTATATCTAATTTTGATAATTTATGAAAATAAAATTATAAAAACCAAAAAAACCTAAAATAGCTTATATAAATGTAAAAAAATATAAAAATAAACCAATAATTCATTAACGTACGTGTAGTCCCTGACTAGACCCCGAATAATTCGCCTAGGCGCTAGTTCTCTATAGAACGTATAGTTACCTGTTTAGCGATTTTTAGAACGTTCTCTGATTAGTTACCAGTGATTTCTTAAACAATTGTACGAACAAATCGAAATCAAGATTAGTATATTTACTTTGATTCATTCTCGTTGACTTTTCTTCTCTCTTCTTGGCAGAGTCTCAAGCTGACTTACCAGTTCCGGAGCTTCCACATCTGAGAATGAAAGATCTTCCATGGTTCCAGACAGAAGATCCAAGATCAGGTGATAAGTTAAAAACAGGCGTGTTGAAGTCACTAAAGTCATCCTCAGGAATCATATTCAACGCTATTCAAGATCTTGAACAAGAACAGCTAGATGAATCCCTCAAAGAGTTCCCGGTTCCACACTTCTGCATCGGACCTTTTCACAAACACGTTTCACCTTCCTCAAGCAGCTTACTTACACAAGACATGACCTGTCTCTCTTGGCTAGACAAGCAAGAACCTAACTCCGTGATCTACATAAGTCTTGGAAGCATAGCTTCAGTAGATGAATCTGAGTTCTTGGAGATTGCTTGGGGTCTAAGAAACAGCAACCAGCCTTTTCTATGGGTGGTTAGACCCGGTTTGGTCCGAGGCACGGAATGGATTGAGATTCTGCCTAAAGGGTTCGTAGAAAGCCTAGAAGGTAAGGGTAAAATAGTGAAATGGGCGCCTCAGATTGAGGTTTTAGCTCATCGTGCAACGGGAGGGTTCTTGACACATTGTGGTTGGAACTCGACGATTGAGAGCATATGTGAAGGTGTGCCGTTGATATGTAAACCTTCTTTTGGGGACCAGAGGGTGAATGCAAGGTACATTAGTGATGTGTGGAGGATTGGTTTGCATTTGGAGAATAAGATTGAGAGAGTGGAGATTGAGAAAGCTGTTAGGACATTAATGAAGAGCTCAGAAGGAGAAGAGATACGTAAGAGGATCATGCCCATGAAGGAAACTGCTGAGAAATGCCTTGAGCCTGGAGGCTCATCGTTTCGGAATCTTGAAAAGTTGGTTGCTTATATATTGGCTTTTTAATGTCCACGTCCTTGTTTGCTTTGTTTAAATTTGTTCTGAACTTTAAAAATAAGACACATCTGATTTGTTACATATCAATAGAAAACTTGTTTTTAGAACTTCACCATAACATTTTTAAACACTAAAAATTTCATTGATAACCGTGCACAATGATGGACACTTGAGTGCGATCATACTAACACTAATGTACCAAATCTCATCAGAACTTTGAAGTTAAACATGTTTGGACGAGATTGGTATTATGATGATTTTTCGAGAAATTTTTGTGTTGCACCCTTTTAAAAATAAAATAAAAAAATGATGGACACTTGAAAAAAGCACAAGAAAATATATTAAAAATGGAAACTTTAAAGTGTCAAATATTTTTTTTTTTGCTTTGTGCTTGAATGGTTTGATTGAATAAACGATTTTCTTTACCACCGTATAATATACTGACTTTCTTAGAGAGAAATAAATTCTTGTTTGCAATCCAATTAAATAGTCAAATCCAACCCATCCACTACCAACTAAATTAAACCGATATATCCAACACCCAAACCGAAACTAAATCAAACCAATCGAATTCAACATACCCGAACTAAATCGTATCAAACCGAATATAGAAGACTTCCGGTTAGCTTTCCTCATTTTCTGTTTCGGTTTTCTTTGGTTATCTCAGTTTCCATCACACATCGGAAAAGAAGAGTTCCCGCATTGTTCAGATTCCGAGAGTCCCGAGGAAGATCGTTGACTTTCCCTTTTTTTTAGGGATCAGAAGTCAAAAGAAAGTCAATGACTACGAGAAACTTAGTGGAGCCTTCGTGGCGTCTCCTCGCAGCAAGCGGCGGAGACACGGTCAAGCTCTTCGACGTCTCCGCCGGCGCCGAGTCTTGCGATGATCCCTGCGTTCTGAGCTACACTCCGACGCCTCGCTCCGTCGTCAATTCCGTGAAATGGAACCATACGAGTAAGCGAACCATTAGATTAGGACTGGTTAGCGAGATAGTGACGACTGATCTTAGGTTTTATTGTAACTCAACACTTTGAGCAAAAATCATCAGAATCTAGATTTAACTGTTGATGTTCTAATTGATTTTTTATGTTTCTTTTGGGATGTAGATATGGTTGTAGCGAGTGTGGGAGAAGATAAGAAGATTTCTCTATGGCAGAAAAATGGGAAGACCTTAGGAACTGTTCCGGTTACTGGGAAGAACAGCAACGATATCAACGAGGTTACTACTTTTCTTAGATAGATTTTGGCTCATGATATTCTGATTCACCAATTATCTCTTACGCATCTCTTTTTCAACGATTGCAACACCCACTTTGATGCCATTGTGGTACAGTAAGGTTTAAATTTCCTAGCATATACTCCCGCTGTTTTATTATAAGTGTCATTTTAGCTTTGTGCACACCGATTAAGGAAATAATTAATTTTGCTTATTTTCTATATAAAAACACAATTATCTATACACCTAACCATATTTCGACCAATAAAAAAATAAATTACACATTGAAAATTGAAAACGAACAAAAAATTATCACTTAATATGAAATGGAGGGTGTAAAAGAACTCAATATAGTGTAACTAGTGCAGGAGACCACTCCTATAGCTAGCTTCTCAAGCTTTTTGCATTTCTCTAAGATAGTTGGATCTCACTGAAAATGATGTTAATTTATGTTTATGTGCTTGTGTGATGATATAATTCAGGAATGTTTATCAGCTATTAGCTTCAGCAACAAGGGGTCTAGGTATATATGTACTGGAGGAACTGGTCAAACTGTAAGGATATGGGATCTGCAGAGAAAGCTTTGTATCAAAAATCTGAAGGGTCATACAAGTACTATAACGGGTGTTATGTACAATTGCAAAGACGAACATGTGGCTTCTATCAGTGTTGGTGGGGATCTGATAGTCCACAACCTTACATCTGGAGCAAGAGCTTCTGAACTCAAAGATCCATACGGGCAGGTTGTTTGGTTAGTATATGCATGCTTTCAGTTATAGTTGAGAGATTTTGTTCATCAAACTAATTGGCTTTTGGATTTGATGGTTTGAAAAGCAGATATTGAAGGTTCTCGATTATTCAAGGTTTAGTCGACACCTTCTGCTTACTGCAGGTGATGATGGGACTGTGCATCTCTGGGACACGACTGGTCGTAACCCAAAGGTTTGCTGTTTTAACGTGTGTTCCATATGGGAAAGAAAATATTACAAAAGCTCCAAAGCAAATCACAAATGATATTTGCTTTATATCTCCCCTACATTTTACTTTTCTGAATCAATGGAATTTCATTTTCACAGGTATCCTGGTTGAAGCAGCATTCTGCACCAACTGCTGGTGTTTGTTTCTCTCCATCGAATGACAAGGTTACTGAATCCTTATGAACGGTCTACTTGCTTATACATGAACAAGACAGATCAATTTATTTGTGTATTATACTCTGTATATTCTAGTACATGTGCATAAGTCACGAATTACATAAGCCTCTCCATTGCTCTAACTTGTGAATTTGTCTACGGTTTGACAGATTATTGCTAGTGTGGGGCTAGACAAAAAGCTTTACACTTATGACTCTGGTACCAGAAGACCTTCGTCATGCATTACATATGAATCACCTTTCTCTTCTTTGGCGTTTGGGGATAATGGCCACATACTGGCAGCTGGAACGGGTAACGGTAGAATAGTATTCTACGACGTACGTGGAAAGCCGCAACCTATCACTGTCCTGCACGCGTACAGCAGTTCAGAGGTCAATACTTTTTTTTACCTTACTGTAATCTTCTAAGCACTTTACGGTTTTATTAAGCTTTCTACTTTGGATTGTAAACCGAACTAAGCTTCTACTTTGATTGATCAGGCTGTTACAAGTTTATCCTGGCAAACATCAAAACCAGTTATTGTGAATGAAAGAAACTGCACGCCCGAGATGGCTCTTTTTGGTGGTACTGTGGAAGATTCAGTTGTCATTCCAGACCCCTCCCCTGCAACATCTTTAGCTTCACAATCCACGGTGTTGCCAGGTTCTCATGGAGTTGCCACTAGTACGTTAAATCTATCATCAGCAGAAGAAACGCCGAAAAGAAACCATCTATGGCCTGGTGGACCACTGATCAGGCTACAAGCACACCGTGCCAGTGATAGTTCTAAAGATGACATGGACATATTTTCCCCTGTCGTTGGCGTACAATCTGTTGAGAAATGGTCTGATACCGAAGGATTGAAAAGGGATCATTTGGTTCTTGATAAGAAGACTTCCTCCTTAACATTTCCTTCATCAAGCAAAGGAGGATTTCCGTTTAGGGATGACGGAAACAAAGAACACCCAGTAAATGACTGGAAGCTGAGTTCTACTTCTACACAGGTTTGTGTTACTTCATGTTTCCACTACGATTTGGTCTCAGCACTCAACGTTATTGAGCTTTTAGGTATTGTAGGGTTTAGAAGAATCAATATGGTTCGGTCGTGTTTCTTTGCAGAAACTTTGAAATTCTCTATTATTTAGCCTTCCTGTCGGTTCATCAGTGTTTAATCTTCTGCTCCTTGTATGTACAGGATGACACAAGGGCTGCCTTTTCTCCTTTTGGATCCACGCCCACAGCGTTATCGAAAAGCGAATTCTCTGCTCTGACACCTCCAGAAGCCTGGGGTGGCGAGAAGTTTAGTCACTTAGCTGCTAATGACAAATTTTCTGAAAAATTCAGTCACTTGAATCCGCCTTTGCGTCTCGGAGTCTCCAGCTCAAGCACTAGTACATCTGGATCATTGTATTCTGGTTCTAGAGATTTCCCTTTGTCGCTTGGTCAGAATCAGACTAGCCATGCAAACGTTAGCATCAGCTCAGAGTTCCCTGGCGTAAGAGACTTCAACTCAAAATTCGAGAAATCATCAACGCTTGCAGACAATTTCCCATCCAGCCCATTGTTAGCCAAAGGCATAGCATCTCAGGGAATCATTGATTCGTTGAGGCTGTCACCAAGTTATACTCGTAGGTTGTCAACTTATGCTGAGAGAATCGGCACCACTTCTTCCTTCAGCGATGGAGCCTCTCTCTCTCCTAAGATAAAGAAAACAGGAGCCGAGACCAGAGAAGAAGTTCTGAATAATCTGTTGCACAGACCTGAGAAACTGGCTGCAGCTGATGCAGGAGTTCTTCCGGTTATTAATGTATATAAACTCTCCGAGAAAGTTAGCTGTTCTTGATCAGCCTCAGTACCTTGACTGAGATTTTATTGGTAATTGTGTAAATAGGGAGGAGGAAGCTTGCAACAACAGTCGAAGCAACCTGAAAACAACTTCACGCTTCAGCTATTTCAAAGAACACTTGAAGGAACACTCGATAACTTGAAGAACTCAGTCCACGACGATATGAGGAACCTGCACATAGAGATATTGAGGCAATTCCACATGCATGAGGTAAACATTGGTGTTTAGCAACAGATTTTAGTTAGTAGTATATGTTTTTTTTTACATGGTATGTTTTTTTTGTTCCTTGGTGGTGAGCAGATGGAGATGTCGACGACGTTAAACTCGGTTCTGGAGAACCAAGCAGAGCTCATGAAAGAGGTTAAAATGTTAAGGAAAGAGAACCAACAACTTCGCCAAATGCTATAGAGAGCGAAAAAGGAATGAGAGGTAGTATTTGACCAAAATGAGAGGTAGTATATGAGTGCGACCATTTAAGCTTTAATGTATTCGAATGTTTTGTGTAGAAAATGCATTTACTGGGGAGAAAAAACAAATTAAATGATATTACTATTTCACTGTTTTCAACTAAACTGTTACATCCTAGTTTGTAAATCTGTAGTAAACATCTTATTGCTAAGTGCCAACTGTGGACAACTGTATCCACAGAATATAACTCTGCTAACAAAACTAAGGAGTTTTCTCATATTGATGATCCGTCTCTTCTAATCATCAAACTGTTTTCTCTTTGCTAAAATTCTAATCATTTTAACTGTTTCTCTTTACCGAATCCTTCATGTTTTTTAAGTGAGGGAAGAAGACATGTCGTCTGGGTGGTGTAGTCGGTTATCACGCTAGTCTCACACACTAGAGGTCCCCGGTTCGAACCCGGGCTCAGACAATATTTTTTTGCCGCGTTTTTAATCATTTATCCAATCCTATGCCGCCACGTTATAATCTGTTACACGCTATGTTTAACTTCGCACGCGCGTTAGCAAAAACGTGTGCGTTGATTTCACTTTACCTTCGAACCTAAACATCCTCTAATCGAAAAATCGCCTGAATCAATCTAGAAATCAGAGAATCATCAAACCCTAATTTTCCATCTTCTTCAGAGCAGATTACTATTGTATTGGGAAAGACACAGAGATGGATTGGGATAGCGTAGCTGCGGGGGATGTGATGGAGGCGCTAAGAGAAGTCGAGTGGTCGACGAGTCCTCGTTCTTTGGCGGAGTTCTTCTCCAGATTCGCCTTCCCTCGCTCTTTCTCTAAATGGATGAGCCGTCTCAAATGCAATCTCTACTAGTATCTCACCCTCTCCCTATCTCTCTCTTTCTTTCTATATGTGTATTCGTGTTTGTTTTGATTTTTGATTTTCATCTGATTTTTTCTTGTTGCAGCTATAGGACGAATTACTTTCTCATGTTGATTCTCGTTCTAGGTATATATATCAAAGCCTTGCTTTCTTTTTTTTTTATATTGAGAAAAATCTGAATTTATGATTCTCTTTTGAGCGCAGGTCTTGCACTTATCACCCGACCTCTTGCCATCATTGGCGCTGCTCTCACAGCCTTAAGCTTAGCTTTCCTCAACGACAGGTACCTCCTTTGATTTCTCCTTAGTTTCTCTCTACTTTTATATCTCTGCTTAGAGAGATTCATTGGTTGCTTCTGTTGGTGTTGATTTGTAACTATTGAATGTTTATGAATAGGCTGAATAAATATATTACATTCTAATGGATTGATTATGGCGTTGGTGTCTTTTGTTTTAAGAGTTGTTACGCTTCTCAGTGATTTTAGTTGTTTTTGTTTTAGCTTGACCCTAGGATTTGTATGTTTATTATGTAACATGTTCTGTGTATGTTCCTTGGGATTTGTTAAATAAATAATGCTCATGCGTTTGTGGTGTTTTTTTGTTCTCTTTTTTTTTTGTAGCTTTGCAGCTACTTTCAATGAAAAGGCTATTCGGATCATTAGGCAATTCTCGCCGCATTTAGCTGCAAAGATGAGGCCTCCTCACATGTGAGTTCTTTATTTTCATCTCCATGGAAGATTTACAGCTTCTCTCTCTTAGTTTTTTTAATTTATTACTCGTGAACGCTTTTCAGGCCTGTGATTCGTGGGCGATCTGCGTCTAGGAAGACGGTCTACGTTTGTGGCCAACCACGTTTGGTGTTCGTGTTGCTTGGATTAACCGGTACTTAAAATAATATCTCTTCAAGTCATATAAACCTTACCACCTCTTGATATCCAACTTATCTATTTGTTTATTCATTATGTAGCCAGCTTTGCCTTGTGGTTTACTTCCTGCGGTTTGTTATGGGTTCTCTATGCACTTGCCACTGCTCTTCTTAGTAAGTTGTTAAACTTCTTGTCATCTTTCTCTTAATCTTTTTTGTTTTATTTTTGGTCCAGTTTTAAATTGATTTATTTGTTTTTCTCTCCAATTCCCATAGTGATCATGCTTCATGCAAGCCTCCGAACTCCGAACCTCAAGGCACGCTTGAACACATTCCGTGAAGAGTTCAGAGCTGTGTGGCGTAACTACAGTGAACTTTAAGTCAATCCAAGCAGGGGATATCACTTGGTCAAGTTAGGGCATAAATTCCAAGTCATTCCTTCATGGGCGTCGAAAACAATCACAGTTATTTTTTCTTATCTTTTAGTTAGCTAGTAATTGTAAAGCCACTTGTCTGGTTAAGTTGAGTAGAACCACAGGGTTGGTTGATAAATCGCAGACAGAATATAGTGTTGTGTGCTCTTGAGGTTCATCGTAATGCTGCTGCTGCTTGCTCAACACCTAAGTCTGTGTATCCATCCATGGTTCATACTCTTTTAGTCTTTTACATTGTTTTAGTGATTCAGCTTTTCAATACCTTCTTTTGCTTCTTCTACGCAGACTTTTCAGTTTTGAAATAGAAATGCAATGCATTATGAGTACTCATGCATTATTATTGTGTCACCAGTCTATATGTGTTGTATTGCTTGCGGAATGAATTCTGGAAACTATACCGCAAAAATATGTCTCAAAATCAAAAAAGTTCCGAAGAGTGTTTACCTTCGAACAGGTGACCTCGAAGTCGGTTAAAAAAAAACCATTTAAATGAATTTCCCGTATTATTTTGTAAATCCCAAAACGGTGCGTTTAAGTTATAGACGGTTACCTTAAGCACACATAGATAATAAACCAAACCCTAAGATAGTTTCTCCTTACAAATTTTACATTACATCAAAAGATCAAAATAAGCGGCGCATCTGAATCAAAAACAAAGAAGATGACGATCGATACACAGCAGCAGAAAACAAGCAAGTTCCGATGGGGAGAGATGGACGAAGACGACGATCTCGATTTCCTTCTCCCTCCCAAACAAGTAATCGGTCCCGACGAGAACGGATTAAAAACAGTGGTCGAGTACAAGTTCAACGACGAAGGCAACAGAGTCAAGATCACTACCAAGTCACGTGTCCGTAAGCTAGCTTCCGCGAGGCTCAACAAACGTGCTATTGAGCGGAGGAGCTGGCCTAAGTTCGGAGAGGCAGCTAATGAGGACGCTGGTAGCCATCTCACAATGGTTTCGACGGAGGAGATTGTTTTGGAACGACCTAAGGCTCTTGGTCAGTTTTATTTGCTAAGTTTCTTGCGTTTTAATGATTCTTTGGGTGTTAATTGTGTGAATAGGTTTAGTAAAATCACTATTTTTATTATTATCATGTTTTTGTGATCTGTTCTAAGTTTAGACCGAACCAAAACTCATTGTCTGATTATATGAATTAAATGAGTGACCAATTAGCCCATCACATTTTTTTTTTTTGCTAACATGTTAGCCATGCGGCTTGTTTTTTTGTTTGATTGGTTAGTATGTCACTGACAATATTCAAAAAATCGAGAAATTGTTAGGCGTTTTATATGAAATTGTTGATTAGTCTAGCTACTAGACCGAGTTTTTAGTGCTTACACCTATTTAGAGTGGATAAGTTAGTAAAGGCAACACCTTTATTATCATGTGTTATGTGACATGTTCTAAGTTTGGACCGAGCCTAAACTCAGTGTCTGATTATATGAACCATATGAGTAGGGTGACAAATTAGCCGCTCACATGTTAGCTGTGAGGCTACTTCTTTGTTTGATTGTTTCGTTTATGTTTGATTTGTCGACTAATCAGACAATTGAGATATCTAGTTGTGTCCTAAACTGATTTTTAGAGCACTTTGCACCCATAATTGTTTACTGTTCTGTTTTGTACTTCATTCTGAGTATGAACAGAGATGTTCTCTTTAACTTTCAGACACAAAAAAAGTTGCAGACTTTCATTACTTATGTGCTCTTTAAATTTCACTTTCTAGCTTTTACCCTTGTGAATCTTCTTCTATTGTGTTCTCGGCACTTAGGTTGATGGAGCAGTCACTTGTTAATGTTTGTAAGGCTAAATATTTTCTAGTAATAGGGCTTTCTTGAAATGTTTTGACTTTCTTTTTCCTTGTTGCTTTCGAATCTAATGGGGTATGTGATGTTTTCAGGTGCCAAAGCAGAAGACACAAAGGAAGACGGCTTGTCTCAGCTGACTAAACCTGGTGCAGTCCTCATGGTTTGCAGGACATGCCGCAAGAAAGGTGATCACTGGACATCAAAGTGTCCTTACAAGGATCTAGCTGCACCAGCCGATGTCTTTGAGGACAAGCCACCCACAGGGGAAACATCTACCGCATCCGTTGCACCTGGACCTGGCAAGTCCTCTTATGTCCCGCCTAGCATGAGACACGGTGCGGACAAAAACGCTATGGGTTCGGACATGAGGAGGAGGAACGATGAGAACTCTGTCCGTGTCACTAACTTGTCTGAAGACACTCGTGAGCCTGATTTGATGGAGCTTTTCCATCCGTTTGGAGCTGTCACGCGTGTCTATGTGGCGATTGATCAGAAAACTGGAGTGAGCAGAGGGTTTGGTTTTGTTAATTTCGTGAGCAGGGAAGACGCTCAGAGAGCAATCAACAAGTTGAATGGTTATGGTTATGATAACCTCATCCTCAGGGTTGAGTGGGCTACTCCAAGACCCACACAGTAAATTTCCTTTTTGAGTCCTTCATAGACTCGTTCTTATTTTTGGGTATTTTCTGCTTTGGATTCTTTTTAATCTACCGGTTTGTGCTGGTTTCGTTTGGTTCTGTTCGAATTAGGTGAGAAGATGTTATATTTATCTTTAATACATGAGGCATATTTTGAGTATTCAAAAGGTTTTAAAAATACAACTCAACAATGTGTCCCCGAAACACTTTCGTCAGTTTGTGTGTTGTGATTAGGTCTGAGCGTTAGGTACTTGTAAATTTTTGATTTGGGTTCGGATGGGTTTTTTCGTATCTGAATCGGTTTGGATCTATAATTAAAATATCAATTTTTGATTTAGGTTCGGGTGGATTCTTCTCGGATCTGAATCGGTTTGGATCTATAATTAAAATATTTGTACTTTGTGTCGAGTCTGGGTCGGATCTGGGTATTAAGGATATGAAAAAAAAAGTAAATACCAAAATTACATCAAAATCTATCTTCATATCTATAATCTTACAAAATAATTTTAAATAAACTATTAATAATTAAAATAAAACCTTTTTAAAAATTTTACATTTAAAATCTTATATTATAAAATGTTATAAAAATAATAAAGATTATTAACAAAAATATATTTCAACTAGATTATAAAATAAAATACATAAAATTATAGTTTTGGATATTCATGTAATTAAGTCGGTATGAATCGATTATTATCGGGCTGGGTTTATTCAGATCGGTGTTTTCGATTTTGGATCTATTCGGATCGATTCTTTTCAGGTCCAAGTTTTTTTGGATCTCAGAGTTTTGGATCTAATAGGTACATGTAGATTTTAGTTGGGTTTCGGGTCAGGTATTTTCAGTTTGATTCCGGTTCGGGTTTTTGGGTATGAGGTAATCTTCCCAAGCCTAGTTGTGATAATACTTTATTACTTACATCGTTCAGCTAATATCGTCAAAAGGCTGAACAAGTAGTGACAAACACGAAGACTCCCTAATGGAACACGCGATGTGTCATGTATAAACCTAATGAACATGAGTTAAGACTTTAATAAGAAACAAGATGAGACAACATCATGATATATTGAGAACAAAAAAAAAGAAGAAAGAATAATTGAGAAAGAGAGGTCAACATCAAATCTTTGAAACCAAATCTCACATTAGACCAAATAGGCACGTGTCGATGTTCGATTGTCACAAGTATGCATAATCTTATCTTAGATTCCACTTGTGTTGTGTCCCTCTCCATCTCCAACTCTCTTTTCTTTTGTGCCCTTTCACTCTTTCCACGAACCCAACAGGCACAGCTAAACTCCATCATTGTACAGTATACAACATTATGCAAGTGCAATCCTATAGTTTTTGGCTGCGCCTTATCTTTTGATGGTGAAATCTCTTATTTTCAACCAACTGTTTCGTGTTGGAGTGTACTAACTCACTTGTGTTTGGTTTTAAACGCCAAGAACGACGATGGTAATTTTTGTAAAAAAAATAAAAAATAACATAGTATTGAATAATCATCATTTAGAAACTTGATTAAATTTTATTTTAATGCATAAGAAATAAGGTTACTCAATGTCTAACCAGTCACTCATCTTTGAAGGTACAGGCCCGATTAAATACCTAACAAAATAGTGTGAATTTTAGCTTGTATAGAACATGATTGAGCAGAAGAATATTTTAATTATTTGATCATCGTGGCAACTGGCAAGTAATGGACGGTTCATGGTTCATATAATATTTTTGTTCAAGTTGATATAGTTAAATCTACAAAAAAAAAAACTTTGAGGATCACTTTTTCTCTCTTTCATTTCATTCCTTCCAAGTGGTATTAACTAGTCAATTAAACCAAATCCGTTTAATTAATGATTGATTCCGACATTAACTGACATTTAGCATTCGACAATGTTGCCCAGACAATTTTCTTAATTATCTTTCACTAAATTAAACTATATTGTATTAAATCATTACTTTTATTTAGAATCCAGCTGAGTCTCCCCCAGAATTAGAATTTTAAAATGTCATCGTTAAAAAGGATAAAACTCGAGAATCAGCACTAGTAAACGATTCTTGAAACGTCCCCGTTTACACAATTGATTTCTTGCTTTGTGAATTTAGTATCCATGAATATTATCACAACAAGTCAATGAAAACAACATTCGAATGTACTCAAACGACACACGGTACGCCACGCCACGGTGGTGTGCCATGCCAATAAATAATTTTAATGCTTAAAGATTCGTACTAAACCGGTTTAGAGTTAAATCGACAGTCCAAGACTCCAAGTCTGTAATCATTCAGATCGAACCAGCTAACATTAACCATGCAACATATCTACTCTTTTAAAATATTTTTTTATCTACTAATACAAATTGTTATTTAAATTTATATTATTTGTAAATTTAGATCATTTATAAAGTGTTACAAATAATACAAGTTGTATAGTTAATTGAATTACATTACGTAAATTAAACCAGTGATTATTTATGGTATATTTTTTGGACTTACTTTGGTTTTTAGAACAAATTATATGGTTTGGTTTTGGGACTTAGTATTAAGGAAAAACTCTAAAAACATTAAATAAATTTTCTATCCTAATGGATCAAAAATCAATTATTATTTTCAGGTCCAAAAATATGAAATATTTTTAGCAAAACAAATTGCGTTATTATTAATCATTTATTTAAATCATGCACTTTAAAACATGTTAACGTATTTTTCTTTTTTAAATAAAAATCATTTTATTTTAAAAATTCAACAGTAATTTTAAATAATTTAATGTTTTATTTTTTTAAGATAATTTACTTATTAGAAAAATGTAAAGCAAAACCAAAAAACAAATTTAAAAACTAAAATCTAAAACTATAAATCTAAAAACGCAAGTTATATTTTTTGCTTTTGTTTATTTACAAATAAACTATTGCAAATTTTCTTAAAAAGTTTTATCATCTTTTCAATTTTAAATTAAATGTTCTATTATTTAAGATTTGTTTGTTAATAATATCAGTTCAAACTAAGTGGATCTAAAAGTTAAAAATCCAAACCAAAAGTTAAAAATCAGAAATAAAACATAAAATCTAAAAACAAAATCTAAAACAAAATCTAAAAATAAAAACTGAAACTAAAAACTAATCGAAAACTATCTGTAAATTAAAACAAACCCAATTATATAAATTTTTAATAATAAATTCAGACAATTTTTTATCTAGTTATCTGTTATAACTATCTCATCTGGTTTTAAATCTTTCTTGTGTCTTTTGAACAAAAAAAATAAATAAAAATCTGTCTTATGTTCAAGAACTCATTTCTAGCTTAACCAGAGATACGTTTGTGTTGATCTTCCTCTGAATTAACGTAATATTTTGCTTACATCTCTTGATTACATAGAGAACAATATTGCCTTAAATAATATGGGAAAATAAAAACAAATGCTTACTAACTTCTTAATCAGCTCTTTTTCTTCCCCCCAGCCTGAATTAAGAGCTGTTTAAAAAAAAACTCAAACAAGAGAAAACTAAAATAGAAAAATATTTAAAAATCAAGAAAAATTACAATTAGGTTATGTAACAATTTATCTAAATCTTAATACTACAACTACTAATTAAAATCACTAATCAAGACACTTGATTATTATTATTACTCCTCCTCTTCCTCAAGTCAACCACCACCACGCTCACGTTATCGGAGCTCTGCCTCGCCAGAGCCAGCTTCGTCAACAGCAACGCCGCATCAGAACAAGCGTTGTGAGCAGTATCAGAGTCTCCTCCATCCGCCGCGGCAAGGCACATGCGAGCCACGCCGCACGCCGTCTCGTTCGTCACAACGTCCCAAAGTCCATCACTCGCAAGGATCAAACACTCATCCTCGTCGGTTCGATCCGTTACGGTTACTTCCGGATCCGGAATCACATACGGTTTTAAATAATTATCACCAATGGCTCTTGACATAGCGAGAACTCCTAGAACGCGAGCTCCGTCCCAGTATATAACCCGCCCACCCGCTTGTTGGATCCGGTTCAATTCATCGGGTCGATCCGGCTGTTAACATCAACATAACAAACTATTAGCATATATAAATTATATATATATATATATATACAGTCTGTTGTAACTAACTATAGTCTGTTATAACTAACTAACCTTATGATCTGAAGAGAGAGGGATGGCTAAGCCGTTACGGCAAAGCACGGCGCGAGAGTCTCCACAGTTAGAGACGACGATCTTCTCCGGCGTGACTAACGACACGACGGCGGTGGATCCGACGGCGTCGCACTGAGGAGACTGCAATTCGCATCTGCATGAGCTCTTCCGGTTCGCACCGTTAACGTCTCGCTGGCTAACTTCTCTGTCCATCTTCTGGAAGCTCTTCACCATCGTCTCCTTCCACTCGTCTTCTTCTCCGGCGGCTCCGGCCATGGATTCGACTTCCTGCTTCACTATCTCATGCAACCGCTCCCTGCACTTCTCCGCGACGTGAGAGCAGCCGTGGCCGTCGAAGACGCCGTAGAAGTGATGATTCTCGGAGTTTTTGTGGATTAGCGAGTGGTGAATCGAGACGGCGTCTTCCATGTCTCTTCTCCTTCCGCATACCGACGTCGTTCCGATCTTAGGCGCAGCATCGGAAACGAAGCAGCTCTCTGCTTCGGAACTCGTAACCGTATTTAAATTCTTAACCGTTGATCCCGCCTTCTTTTCGAAACGTACATTAGATTCCAGATCTTGATTTGCAGAAGCGGTCTCTCGCTTGTGCCTCTTACGAGAGTTCTCGAGCGGAGGAGCGACGATTTTGATCGAAGGGAGTAGATCTAACCTCCGTCTAAGAGAAGCTCGAGTGGTGGAATCAACGGTTACAGACGGTTCACTGTCTCCAACAACACCACAGCAAATCTCAGCCATTTGATCTCAGCAACTTCGAATTCAAATCACAGATGAAAAATAAACAAACAATTCTCAAATTACAATCACTGAGCTGAAGAGAGAAAGAGAGAGATATAGAGAGTTAAGAAATGCAATGGGATTTTAAAAAGGAAAGGTTTGATTTAAAAAGGAAAGGGAGAAAAGAAAAGTTTTTTTTTTTTCTCGCATGGAAGGGTAACACGTAATTAACGGGCAGGGGGAGTGAATGAAAGCCTGATGAGTTTGCTGACCGTCACCCAAACAACGGGCAGCATCCGACACGTACCGTTTGGTGTGACGTTCCATTTCCTGGTACCTAGATACAATCTCTGCCGTCCATTCTTCTTTTTTTCTTTTTTGAGGATCTATACACGTGTTTACTTTGCTCCCGGATACGCCGTTAACGTGGCCCAATCAGAGAACGACACGGCTTAACGGTAACGACCGGCCTTTCTTGACACGCATGTGGTCCACCCCTTCGTTTTGTTCTTTTCTTTTTCGTTTGTTTTAATTATTAAATACAGGAAATATGCTGTTGATTAATTAAAAAATTTGAACAACATGGTGTTAATTAAATAAGTAGAGTCAGAGGTCAAAAATAATGGAAGAGTGACAATCTTGTTCTAAAATACTCGAGCTACTTATTTTTTCAACTTTTTCATAAAATAATTGGACCAATAATCACTGTTGATATACATGTAATAAAGTCTTTAATTGTGGAAGATTATACACTATTTCGATAAATATTCTGTACTAGTCTTAGATTTGATCTGATCGCTGTTTTATGACATTATTTTATATGGAAAATAATACTTTTAGTAGTTCAAAATTATCGCAAAATAAGTATGATTCTATAGATAAACAAAGAATTGATACCCAAAAGAAATTCCGACAATGAGTTAATATCCACCCTTCCCAATTAAAACGTGCACTCTAAAATGTTAAAGATTTAGATTTAGTAGTACTAATTTTTATGCTTGAAAATCTTAACGCGGTGTTAATCAACTTAAATTGAAAAAAAAATACGATAGGTTAAATTTCAAGAGAAATCGAGTTACCTCTTGGTCATTTAGTTCTGGAATTTACAAATTCATAATTATTGGTTTAGAACTCGAGAATAAACATAACTATGAGATTAATATACATAGATTACACATGCACAGGATTCTGAATCCTCTGGGTACATATATTTCAGCTCATTCCCACGCATTCTGCATGTAGCTCTAATACATGTAGATTTCAAAAATGTTTTGAGATTTATTTTTTATCGATAAAGAAAATGCTTGAGATATTATTTTATTTTTGGTAAAATGCTTGAGATATTTTGGTTTGTATTGATGACTAAATTGGATTTTTTATATTCTGTTCATGATTTCTCCTATGCTTAGTCGATGCAAGTGTTGGATACTCGACACGTAGTAATGTTCGTCTCCCACTTGTGTTTAGAAACTTTAGATTCAATTCGCATCACCGATTTACCTTTCACGAAGAGGTGTATACGACCACGTCTATATATTCGTCGTCGAATTCTGGTCTATGAAGAAAAAATGAATATTTTAGATATACTATGTACGAAAATCAAGAAGATACGTACGTATACTTCTATGTTATAAGATTTATATATCAGTAAGCTATTCAAAATATCCCAAGTTTTGTCAGAATAAAAGAAAAGCTGGATATAAAATCCTTCCATGCGATCATTTTCTGTTGATATGTGTGTGTTTTATCTTTGTGATTACAAATATTTACATTTAGATGAGATCGACCAATTATTTGTCTGGGGTGACTGAAAAAAAAAAACATAATGGTCACAGGTTTTAAGTATTTATGGTGATGAAGAGAAAATTGTAGTCATTTGCCTCACATAGTTATAACACACAAAACCAAAATCTGTATTTCTATTTATATCAGTTTATAAATATCAAACAAAAAATACAGCAAATGATATTAGCATAGAAGATTAGCATGGTTCATGAGCACAAATGACACACACAATCGAAAAATTGTCTAAATTTTTATTTTTTAAAAAAGATTTTGTATCAAAAAATATGCTGAGAAATACTCTAACTTGCGTGAATACAATGGTCTGCTGATCAAATTATCCAGTTGTAATTTTCCTTCCACGTGAAAGCATTTCAAACAAAAATTCGACTGATCTATTGCTTATCATATTCAAGTACGTTAATTTTTTCAATCAATCTTCTGTTCTTGATCAGAGAGAAGTCATCACACACTTAGAACAAAAAAAAATCTAACAAAAGCGAGACCAGACACGCGATAAAATCGCGCGTGGAAGAGAATATGTCACTACTACTCCTTCAAATTTTATGCTTTGACAAGTTGTGGGGCATGACATGTTGCATCTGCACCACACTAACTCCCTCGCATCCAGCTGTGACCAGAATTGAATGCGTCTACGTAAGCCCGTGAGACAGTGCGAAACACGCGCCTTTTTGCTGGGACCCAACTTAGTCTGAAACTGACTCCTGCCTGCTCAAAGTATCTTGTTTTTTGTTTAGATTTTTCTGTAGCCTCCGAGACGAGGTTTGAACGACACGTGTTGAAGTCTGACGTGGATGCTGTGAGATGCTTCCTCGGTGACTTCTCCATGACTCGAATTCGGCGCTTATCCACGTTTCTATTTATTACACGCATATACTTTCCTCTGTTGTTTTTATTGTATTTATCTTTTAGCCCTTATAATAGTTATTTATTATAGATACAGCTATAGTGTTTTGAATCTTAAACTATAGTCCTAAATTTATATGACAATTCCAATTCGGATCCCTTTATCGAAGAGTTTATTAATTTTCAACGTTATTTAATGTCTCCAACTATGCTTTTAAAATATTTTTTTTACCTTTTACCCAAATAGAACCTTTTCAAGATTTTCCTATTTAACAAAAAAAAATTTATTTATTTTAAAACTTTTTCTTAGTTTATATTAATAAGATATGCTCCCTCCGTTCCATAATATAAGATGTTCTAGAGAAAATTGATGTTTCAAAATATAAGATGTTTTGATATTTTTAAGGTACTTTAACTTTATAAAAACCAATTGACCAATAGTCTTTTAATTTATTATTTATGATTGGTTAATTTATTTAAAATTTATACTATCAAGAATGAAATCTTTTAAAAAGTTAAGTTTCTTAATTCTTGTGCTTTGGATAAAATATTAATTTCAACTATTTAAATGCTACTGGTTAATAGTCACTGAAAAGTTTATACCAGAAGTGTATAACATATTAGATGGTAAAGATTTATTATATTTTCAATACATGTGAAATTTTTTTAAAAATTCATTTGTATAATAGATAAAGAAAAATATTGAATTAATTTTTAATTTAACTGATTATTTGATAAATTAAGATCTTTCAAAGTTAATAAAATAATTTATGGTGGTAAATTACTGAAATTTCGTTATTTCTATAACTATGGGCCTGGCAGCAATAATGTAAATATTGAAAACAAATCCTTCTCTTGTATGGATTCAATGAGAGCACATAACAAAAAAATATAGTTGTAGAATATAGAATTCGAAGTGATGTTTTTTTTTATAAAGCAAAGGAGATTGTTACACATGTCCTCTTTTGGTCTAAAGGAGCAGGTCTAAATTCACCAAAGCTTAGGACAGCAGGAAAACACGACAAACCACTTGTACTACAACACGTTGGATGTTTCAGCTGTCAAGAGACAGACCTACCGCTACCGGCACGTGACGGTCAAAGGAAAGGCGTGTGGCCAAACCTGTAATAAGAGATCACCGGGAGGAACCTAACACATCGCGAAAATCGACCGGTCTCTCGACACGTTTGCATGTTTTTCTTGTTCCTTTAATAACTCTTTCGCTTTTTTCTTTGTATTAATCAATAACTACAAAGAGTTGGCCAGTTAGGTTGATTACATTAAATATTTGAATTAGGAGACTAAACTATTTGTACTAATTTGTACACGTAACCTTACTTAATTGTCTTGGAAACTTCTTTCCATATGATGATTCACCAGAAGGAATACGGCACTTCTTTTCTTTATGGATTATTATTCGATTAGTTTAACTAATTTTAGTCTAATGCCAGACATTCAAATAACATCTGATTGGCCGTCCAGTTTTTCTACATTTCATACTTTGATTGTTGTTAAACTTCGGGATGATTACGTCAATGTTCTAAAATTTCAACGATTATGCTTGTTACACATGTTAAGACCAAGAGACTACGGAATGCATAGCCAGTGTCAGAGCCACATGGTCAAAAAGTGGGGCATCTACCTTTCATGAAAAATTTAGATAGTGTTTTTTGTGCTCCGGTTGATTTCTTATACAATTTTGATAATGTTTTCCATAACATTCATCTCTAGATCCATCCCTTTGCATAGCCAAATCCCTATGCATGAAATCTACCGAAAGTTACTAAAAAGTTAAAACACAGCTGTGTCTTATTGTATATTTTGATTCTTTGAAGATATACTAAATAAAACTGTTACCTATTTAATTAATTGCGTCTTGTTTGACATCTGTATAGAAATAATATTATACATCATACATCGTCGTGGAATCAGCATGCACCGTGACATTTTCCCAACATGCAAGTATACATATATTTTAAAATTTTCAACAATTTTCTAGTATTGTTCTCTTTTTCATCGAATTGAACTCCAGAACCTGGGACAACGGGCCCTACCACATTCACTGTAAATTCTACTGTGATCAATCATGTGATATATAGAAGCGATAAATTGTTTAGTCTTCAGACCAACAATGTACCAAAACAACCAAGTGTATACGGCCATTAGTTTCTAACTTTCTATCACTTCAATCTCATATAGATAAGATCTATATCCTCTAAACATCAGTTTAATTGAACGCAACAAACGTTGACAGAAAAGATTGTAACCCAAATCAAAACGTAAGACAAGACTTCACGAAACTAATCCAAAACCAAAAGATACGTATGAAAAACATGCAAAGGAGTTCTTGCTTATTGTCCTACGATGCTACAAAATATATATTAAGAATATGTGGAAGATTTAGGTGTTACTTAGCTTTAAGGCCTAGCTTCCTTCGTTTGGGTTAAGGACTGAATCTGATACAAAAGAATACACCATGACCTAAATGCTATATGGCAAATCCAATTTGGAGGGCGTCCCTTACTAAGGCCCATACAATGGCCCAATACGACTGGCTAGTAAAGCCCTTGTTTCTTTAACTGTTTTTCTGTTTCAGCCTTCTCTTTGGACCGACTATAAATTATAAAGCAGCACTAACTTGATAGATTCAGAAAGGCAATCTTAAATTTGTTGACAGCAGAAAGAAATGAAAGATGCAACTTAATATTACTCAACAGTCTGGAAATTTTGATGAACTACCATAAGTTATAGGGTTTAGATTCGAGCTCAAAATTGAAATGGCGTGTGATGTGGGCAGAATCGATTCAAATTTTCATGTATTACGTCCCTTACACTCCCATACAGCTATTTTCATTCGAATCTTAGCACACTCTAATATATGTTGACGTATGGTTCGGAAATAGACTTTTCAAATCCAACCCCACCTATCTTATTTTAGCTGCTCGTAGGGCATGTTAATGGAGGTGTTTACGGTGAGGTTCTTAATGGAATATAAAAAACTATCTCTTAATTTTTAGCTAAAAAAAATTAAGAACCTGCTATTAAATTAGAAGATATGGTATTTGGTTTTAATGCATATTTGTATCATGCTCTGATATAATATTAATATTTAAAATGTTTGAGATCTTATGTGTTTTCGTTTCTCTAGAAATATAATTTTTATAGGGGTTAGTATACTAATCAGATCGTCTATAAAATTTAAATAAATTACTCGTTGAAAAATTATAAATGATGACAGTGTACCATAAAAATATGTTTAGCCTACATTAATATACATTGAGAATGAAGTTAGGTATTTTTAAAAACACTAGAGTGTCTAGAAATTTTAGATATCATTTATCTGAAAATTCAATTTTTTCATAGGGATTAACCCACATATTTTTAAAAAAAGTTAGAGCATGATGCAAATATGCATTAACACCATTTTGCATAGAAAGATTAAAGAGGTTTAAGATCTTATATGTTCATATTTCTCTAGAAAATAGAGATTTTATAGGGGTTAGTACATTAATTATATTGTATATGAAGTTTAAAAAAATTACTCATTGAAAAGCTAGAAATAAAGACCATATACCACGAAAATATGTTTAGCCTACATTAATATACATTGTGAGTGTGTTTTAGTATTATTAAACAACACTGAAGTGTCTAAAAATTTTAGATGGCATTTATCTGAAAAAAATCAATTTTTTTCGTAAGGGTTAACCCATATATTTCAAAGAAAATTCAAATATCTGGTATTTTTATTTTAATACATATTTGCATCATGCACTGACATAATATGAAGATTAAAGAGGTTTGAGACATTATGTGTTTCCATTTATGTAGAAAATAGAGATTCTATAGAGGATAGTATACTAATTAGATTGTATATGAAATTTAAATAAATTACTCATTGGAAATTTAAAAATGGTGACCATATATTATGAAAATATGATTAATCCATATTAATATACATTGGGAGTGTGATTATGTATTTTTAAACAACACTAAGGTGTCTAAATATTATAGATAGAATTTATCGAAAATTTTAATTTTTTTTTGTAGATTATATATGAAGTTTAAATAAATTACTCGTTGGAAAGCTAGAAATAAAGACCATATACCACAAAAATATGTTTAGCCTACATTAATATAAATTGCGAGTGTGTTTTAGTATTATTAAACAACACTGAAGTGTCTAAAAATTTTAGATGGCATTTATCTGAAAAATCATTTTTTTCGTAAGGGTTAACCCACATATTTCAAAGAAAATTCAAATATCTAGTATTTTTATTTTAATACATATTTGCATCATGCACTGACATAATATGAAGATTAAAGAGGTTTGAGACATTATGTGTTTCCATTTATGTAGAAAATAGAGATTCTATAGAGGATAGTATACTAATTAGATCGTATATGAAATTTAAATAAATTACTCATTGGAAATTTAAAAATGGTGACCATGTATTATGAAAATATGATTAATCCATATTAATATACATTGGGAGTGTGATTATGTATTTTTAAACAACACTAAAAAGTCTAAATATTATAGATAGAATTTATCGAAAAATTTAATTTTTTCGTAGGGGTTAACCCGCATATTTCAAGAAAAAATAGACAATTTGGTCTTTTGGATTAATGCATACTTGCATCATTGTTTGAAACAGTATGAAGATTAAAGAGGTTTAAGATCTTATGTGTTCCCATTTCTCAAGAAAAATATATATTTTATAAGGGATATTACACTAAGTAGATCATATATGAAATTTAAATAAATTACGCGCTGAAAAGTTAGAAATGATAACCATGTACCACAAAAAGTTGTTTACCTACATTAATATATATTGCGAGTGTGGTTTAGTATTTTTAAACAACACGGAAATGTCTAAAAATTAGAGATAGCATTTATCAAAAAAAAAAACTTTTTGTAGGGGTTAACCCACATATTTCAAGAAAAATTAGAAAATATGTTATTTGTTTTAATTTATATTTGCATCATTCTCTAATATAGTATTAATATTAAAGAGGTTTGATACCTTATATGTTTCCATTTCTCTAAAAAATAACATTTTTATAGGATTAATACACTAATTAGATCGTATATGAAGTTTAATTAATTAATTAATTGTTGAAAAGTTAGAAATGATGACCAATTACCATGAAATTATGTTTATCCAACATTAATAATCACTGAGAGTGTGGTTTAGTATTTTTAAACAACACTTAAGTGTCTAAAAGTTTTAGATAGCATTTATCAAAAAATTCAGTCTTTTCATATGAGTTTACCCACATATTTCAAGAAAAAATTAAAAAAGTTTGTATTTTGTTTTAATGCATATTTACATTATGCAGTGACATAGTTTGAAAACTAAAGAGGTTTGAGACCTTATGTGTTTCTATTTCTCTAGAAAATATAGATCTTATAGGGGTTAGTAAACTAATTAGATCATATATGAAATTTAAATAAATTACTCGTTGAAAATTTGGAAATGATGATTATGTACCATGAAATTATGTTTAGCCTACATTAATTGGGAGTGTGGTTAGGTATTTTTAAACAACACTAAAGTGTCTAAAAGTTATAGATAGCATTTATCGGAAAATTCTATTTTTTCGTAGGGGTTAACCCATATATTTCAAGAAAAAATAGAAGATATGTTAATTTTGTTTTAGTGCATATTTAGACATAGTATAAAGATTGAGGAGGTTTGAGACCTTATGTGTTCTTATTTCTCTAGAAATAGAAATTTTATAGAGATTAATACACTAATTAGATATTATATAAAGTTTAATTAATTACTCGTTAGAAAGTTAGAAATGATGATGACCATGTACCATGAATATATGTTTAGCCTATGTTAATATACATTGAGAATGTGGTTTGGTATTTTTAAACAACACTAAAGTGTTTAAAAATTATAGATAACATTTATTGGAAATTTCAATTTTTTCATAGGGGTTAACCCACATATTTTTTAAAAAATTAGAAAATTTTGTATTTTTGTTTTAATGCATATTTGCATCATGCATTGACATAGTATTAAGATTAAAGATGTTTGAGACCTTATGTGTTCTCATTTCTCTAGAAAATAAAGATTTTTTAGGGGTTAGTACACTAATTAGATTGTATATGAAGTTTAAATAAGTTACTTTTTGGAAATTTATAAATAATGACCATGTACCATGAAAATATGTTTACCCTACATTAATATACATTGAGAGTGTGATTAGATTTTTTAAACAACACTAAAGTGTCTAAAAATTATAAATAGCATTTATCTAAGAAATTAACTTTTTCATATGGGTGTTAACCCACATATTTAAAAAAAAAATTTGGTAATTTTGTTTTAATGTATATTTGCGTCATGTATTGAGATAATATGAAGATTGAAGAAGCTTGATACCTTATATGTTCTCATTTCTCTATAAAATAGAGATTTTATAGGAGTTAATACACTAATTAAATCGTATATAAAATTTAAATAATTATTCGTTGAAAAGTTAAAAATAATGACCATGTACCATAAAAATATATTTAATTTACATTAATATACATTAAAGCGTGGTTTGATATTTTTAAACAACAATTAAGTATCTAAAAACTGTAAATAGTATTGTTAGAAAATTCAGTTTATCATATGTTTTTTTATATCTTTTTTTTGTGAAACATGTCTTTTATATCTATATCTCTTTCACCAGCACAAAATAAAAACCCTTCCAAGTGGACCATCCTTGCAATTAATATAAACAGGAAACGACGAGTTTTTTCCTTTTAGGAACCTCAGTTTAGACAATTCACATGTACATCTTGATTGATCCTCAATGTCGTTAAGATTAAGATGGTTCAAGCATAGTGCATCAAAGCGTATCTTAGCGTTGTTTCTGATTATAAAAATTATCAATAAGAAATAAATTTATTAATTAGAACATTTATGAGTTGAGTCTCACATACATTAAGCTCCGTTCTCATGCCTCCTATCAATAGTCTAAATATAGTGTTTTCTATTTATACACTTTTTTCTATAACGTTTTCCTACTTTTTCTCAACTATACTCTTAATAACTAAAGCTCAAACCACATTTTATCCATCCCGTAACATTCTGTTTTTCTGTTCGTTTTAATTATAGTTTGAAACTTGATAATATTAAAATCTATTAACGCATATATTCGAAAGTCCTCTTTATCGTTTGACTGAGGCTATCTCCGTCATTTTGTGTATCTCAATCACGTGTCTACCTCCTCTTCTTCCTTTTATGTGTGTTAACCTCATAGATGTCACTCCCAAAAAAAGGTAAAACACCAAAACACCTTCTAAAAATAAAAATAAAAAACAACCTCACCCACCGTCGGGGGTAATTCCGTAACTTCCCAACAGTCCCTCCATTCCCGCGGCGTAACAACAGGGTCAGTTCTGTAAATTAAGCAAACATGAAACTGAATCGCGGCGGTGGAGAGCACCACCACCACGAGGCCCTGAAGTTTTCAAGCTTCTTCTTCATGCCTGAGCGTCCACGTGAGTACCTCGTGCTCTTCACACGCTTCTCCGTCCTCACGTGCCTCATCGTCTCCGTCTCTCTCGTCCTCCGCACCACTTTCTTTTCCTCCTCCGCGCCGGAATATTCCTCCTCCTCCTACGGTCTCCGTTTCCCCGCCGTTCCGTTAAAAGCCACAGCTCTCCCGCCGACAACCTCCGCCGGACCGATCACCATCTCCCACGTCCAGTTCTGCATCGCCGGAGCAGCCGAGACATGGCTAGATCGGAGCCAGTACACCTCCTTATGGTGGAGAAACACCACTAGAGGATTCGTCTGGCTCGATAAACCGATTAACAACGACGATAACCGGTTTTCAATCCCGGTTCGTGTCTCCGATCCGGGATGGACTCGGTTTAGATTCTCCAGCTCGAAAGCGGCGGTTAGGATCGCTCGCGTGATATGGGATAGTTATCAGCTGAACCTCCCCGACGTGAGGTGGTTCGTGATGGGAGACGACGACACCGTTTTCTTCGAGGAGAATCTCGTCAAGGTTTTATCGAAGTACGATCACGAGCAGATGTGGTACATAGGAGGGAACTCGGAGAGCGTGGAGCAGGACGTGATGCACGCGTACGATATGGCGTTTGGCGGCGGGGGGTTCGCGATTAGTCGCCCGCTCGCGGCGCGTTTGGCGAACGCGATGGACGGTTGTCTGCAGAGGTATTTCTATTTCTACGGTTCGGATCAGAGGATCGCGGCTTGCGTTAGCGAGATCGGCGTTCCGTTCACCGAAGAACGCGGGTTTCATCAGGTGCGTTTTCTGTTTTGTGGCACACGTGTCGGGGTTTGGATTGGTTTGTTTGGTGGACACGTGTTGGGTTGTCTTGAATCTCGTTTGTGGGAGTCCGACATATTCAAAAGGGTTTAGATTGCTGAGAAGTGCTTGAGTTTAAGTGTATTGTTGCCACGTGGAATTTTTGACTTATTTGTGAATAGAGGGGTCAAGCGTAATAATTAGTGTTTAGGAGTTGATTTATTGAATTAAGTGACAGAAATGTTGACCGAAAATAAGAAAATAGTGACACATTAGTACTTTTGCCTCTGAAATCTGACTTATATAATACGTTGATTTAATTTTCAAATTGAAGTGATAGGTGTAGATGATACTATCCGACCGTTTTTATTTTTCCTTTGTTTTATTTTAATGAATGGTCTTAATTACATGTGGTCCTATGAGTGTTGGAGAAAAATGATTTATTTATTTATTGGGTTTTCAACTTCATTGGTGGAGCACATGATTCTGTCATGTTAGGATACAAAGCTTTTAATCATGCCTGCTTTGTTTTAAAATCTATTGTTTCCGCCAAAAGCTTGTTGTTAATCAAATCTAAGATATTAATGTTTATTCCTGAACTGTATATGTGCGTGTCATCATCGCTGCAAGACCACATGTAGTGTCCATCACGGAAAGTTTCAGTTTAGGTATCTAAGTGTCAGGAAATTCAACATCTGCATGTGTTTTTGTCGAGTCTATTATTAAAACAACCATATAATCAACTATTGTTTTGTTTTTGGACTAACAATCTTGTGTTGTGTTGCAAAACAAAATGTGTGTTGCAGCTTGACATAAGAGGAGATCCATACGGGTTTCTAACGGCGCATCCATTGTCACCGCTTGTATCATTGCATCACCTCGTTTACTTAGATCCCATGTTCCCTAACAAAACCCCTATCGAGTCTTTACAAGCCCTTATGAAACCTTACACGCTGGACCCGCATAGAATACTCCAACAGGTTCATTGCTATGACCGCAAGCGTCAATGGTCTATATCCATCTCTTGGGGATACTCTATTCAGATATACAGTTATTTCTTGACCGCTAAGGAGCTGGATACGCCGTTGCAGACCTTCAAAACTTGGCGGTCTTCAAGCGATGGGCCTTTCACGTTTAACACGCGGCCCTTGAAACCTGACCCGTGTGAGCGTCCAGTGACTTATTTCATGGATGGAGCAGAGGATGTGAGGGGTAGTGGGACGAAGACTTGGTATAGTTTAGGGGATAAGAAGTATGGTCATTGCGGAAAGAGTGAGCATTCTCGGGTGGCCAAAGTGAAGAGGATATTAGTGACTTCAATGAAGATGGATCCTGAGTATTGGAACAAGGTTAGTGTTTTTAACTTATTCCATATTTTGAATTTAATCAGCTTTTATTTACAGTTTGTGTTGTTTTTTTGACAGGCACCACGGAGACAGTGTTGTGAGGTGATGGAAGGAGGTGGAGGAGGAAGAAGAAAGGAGGAAGAAATGTCGATAAGGATTAGAAAGTGCAGATCTTCGGAGATGATATGAAAACAACGTTTTGGTTTAGAGAGTTTATATTTGCACATACGAGACTTCATTTAGATTTGATCATAGTTGGTTTCTAAGTTCCTAGCACTATGAGATGACGATTTACTCTTATATTATTACCTGCACTCGTGTGTATTTTTCTATATGCAAACATTTGTATGATTAGTCAGAATAATATCCAACTCAAATTCGAAATTCGATAGTTAATTATACTTATACATTCACTTATGTATTGGTAAGTAAGTATGGATTTAATCGTTGCTAATAAATATTTAAAGGTGTATGATCGCTCTTTTAAGAGAGACTCGAAGTCGGAAGTAAACTTCAATACACATGTGAAAGTTTTAACTAGATCCGAATAATAGGAGTTTTGTTAATCAAAGTGTGAATGAATGTCGACAAATCATTAAGAGATCCACGTCATGTCCCATAGTCTAGTTTACATTAGCTAAAAGTTGATGATTTGTAATCCATCAATTCAGAGTTTTCCAGTGCCAATGTACGGAAAGGTCAATATTATACTTATGCGATTGATGTCACTATATAATAACAATACCACTACAAAGTACAATCGAACCAAAATCAATTTGAGTTTGTGAGATTTTTGGTCAATAATTGTTTATCTATTTGACTACATTTTACTTAATACCAAGTATTTTATCCGCACATACATACATAAATATTTTATAATTATTTACTAATATATGCATTACTAATTAAAACAAGATAATAATAAATTATCATTTATACTTTATAATATTTTATTACATTAAATAAACTTAAAAACATTCATATTTTGAAATATTTAGTACATAACTTTAAAAACACTCATGTACACATAAAATTATATATAAAATTTCTATTTAGGGATTTATATTTATTTCATTTTCCAAAAAGTTATGATGTAAAATATATTTTTGCTAAAATAATATAATTTTAATTTATAACTAATTATATATTAATAAGTCTAATTATTTTCAAGATTGATAAACACTTTATAACACAATAAATATATTTTTAGATAGGGATAATTATTAAATAACTGAATTTTGTTTTTAATTTATGGTTAATTTTATATTAATAAATTTAATTATTTATTAAGTGTATTAACGTTATTAACTAATCTAATTTTTAACATGAATTACTGCACAAATAATAATATAAATTTTAATCGAACTTAACTGATAAGAAATTTAAGACAGTCGAGTGGAATTCTAACAATTTAGTTATATAGTTTTATTAAAATCAAACCAACCGAACCAAACCAATTTAACAGTAAACTAACAGAAAAACTGGTTACCTGAAAACAAATCAACGCGTCTTGCCTTATTTTATTGTCTTCGGTCGAAAGTTAGCCGATTTTTTTCCAACCAAACCTCAGCTAACGCAGTTAGAGACGACAGATAGGAATTTGCATAAAGGATAAAGGCTTGTTAACACGCAAGTTTATGTGTCAACTTAAAGAGATTATTAACATTTGCAGCAAAAAAAACTTAAAGAGATTATACGCATTGTGTAAAATACTATTTTATTATAATTCATAACTTTAAAGCGATGTGATCATATCTCTTGGAAAAATGTACTATTACAAAATATTTTTATTAAGTTTAAGCTTTTACTTTCACAAAATGATTTCACAGACAAACAAATAAGAAAATCTAACCAAAACTAAGATAAACTGAATCAAACAAATTAAATACCTTCGGTTATATATGGTAAGTTTCTCTCCAGTCGACTTATCATGCATAAACTATATGTTCTCTTTTTTTCTTTTGAAACTCAAAACTATATGTTCTCATATGATACAATCAGTAACCTAACTAATCGTATATTTAGCTGTACTCACGGCCTAAATTTGGTGCATCATGCCAGCAATTTGGAAAAATTTGGTTAGTTTTAAACCATTCATTTTTTTGCCATCCACATATAACAACATTACGTGCACTATTTTATCAAGAGAAATATATGACGTGTATAATCGTATTTTCGTCACATCTCTCTATATAATATTGACTTATCGCAAATATTCAACTTTTAAAAATACGTACAGTTACGGTAGGTGCAATATTGATAAACTGCCATTGCATTAGAGACGAGGCAGTCCACACCTTTATAACATAAAACGTTACAATCCATTTTCTTCCAATCTCCAAACGAGTCAAAACTAACATTCTATCAAACAAACCAAAAGGAAGAGAGAAGAAATAGAATTGGTGATGGAGCAAGCAAGAACAACTTCAGATTCTGTAGTGTCAGAATTTGAAGGAACAATACTAAAGAACCAAGATCCATTCTCTTACTTCATGCTCGTTGCTTTCGAAGCATCTGGTCTCATTCGTTTCGCCGTCTTGCTATTTCTCTGGCCCGTAATCACACTCCTTAACGTTTTCACCTACAAAAACGCCGCGCTCAAGCTCATGATCTTTGTCTCCACGGTTGGTTTACGCGAACCGGAGATAGAATCGGTAGCTAGAGCCGTCTTGCCAAAGTTCTACATGGATGACGTAAGCATGGACGCGTGGAAGGTTTTCAGCTCGTGTAAGAAGAAAGTCGTGGTGACTAGAATGCCTAGAGTTATGGTGGAGATGTTTGCAAAGGAGCATCTTAAAGCCGATGAGGTTATTGGTTCAGAGCTGATCGTGAACCGGTTTGGTTTTGTCACCGGTTTGATATGTGAAACCGATATCGATCTATCTGTTTTGAGCCGTGTCGCTGATTTGTATGTCGAGGAAAGGCCTCGCATAGGTCTTGCAAGACCGGGCAAGACGGTTTCTACAACTTTCTTATCCTTATGTGAGGTAAAATATTGCATCGTTGCATGAAATATACGTAGACAAAAATACTGAACGTAAATGTTACACTTTTTCACAATATTGATTAAGTATCCTATTAGAAATATAAACAAATCACATGCATAATTACTTTACACCAATCTTTAGTTTTTGTTTGAAATCACTATTTATCTAATACTCTCTCCGTTATACTTTAGTTGTAGTTTTAAATTTTTATACATAGATTAGAAAAACATTTAGTTTTGCATATTCTCTAGACAAAAACACAATTAACTATACAACTAACCATATTTTAACTAACGGAAAAATAAATAAAATCAATAAATTTTATATTGAAATTACAAAATTTAACTTATTTTGAAACGTAATTTTTTCTCTACAACGACATATAAATTGAAACATAATGAGTATATTTTTTGTCTCCACTAGAATTCTTTTTTTTTTATTATCTAACTCAACGTACACAAGTCTTTGTACAGTTAATAACAAAATACATCTATTTATATATTTTCTATTAGTTATTATCAAACTAATATCAAATCTTCATATATAGGAGCATATTCATGCACCAGTTCCTAAGAACTACAACCACCAAACCCAACAACTTGATCTACGCCCACTTCCGGTGATCTTTCACGACGGACGTCTTGTCAAACGCCCAACTCCAGCCACAGCTCTCCTCATCCTCATTTGGCTCCCATTCGGAATCATTCTCGCCACCATCCGTATCCTTCTTGGAGCCATCCTCCCATTATGGGCAACACCATACATCTCTAAGATATTCGGCGGCCAAATCATCGTCAAAGGCAAACCTCCTCAGCCACCAGCGCCCGGACACTCCGGTGTTCTCTTCGTGTGCACACATAGAACCCTAATGGACCCGGTTATATTATCCCACGTCCTCGGACGCAGCATCCCTGCCGTTACTTACTCAATCTCACGCTTATCCGAGATCTTATCTCCCATCCCAACCGTTAGGTTGACAAGAATCCGTGACGTGGACGCCGCAAAGATCAAACAACAGTTGTCTAAAGGCGATCTAGTTGTTTGTCCCGAGGGAACCACTTGTCGTGAACCGTTCTTGCTAAGGTTTAGCGCGCTTTTCGCTGAGTTAACGGATAGGATTGTTCCCGTTGCTATGAACTATAGAGTTGGGTTCTTCCACGCGACCACGGCGAGAGGGTGGAAAGGTTTAGACCCGATTTTTTTCTTTATGAACCCGAGGCCGGTTTACGAGGTTACGTTCTTGAACCAGCTTCCGGTGGAGGCTACGTGTTCGTCAGGGAAGAGTCCGCATGATGTGGCGAACTATGTTCAGAGGATCTTGGCGGCTACGTTAGGGTTTGAGTGCACTAACTTCACGAGGAAGGATAAGTATAGGGTTCTTGCGGGAAACGATGGAACGGTTTCGTATTTATCGTTTCTTGATCAGTTGAAGAAGGTGGTGAGCACTTTCGAGCCGTTTCTCCATTGAAATCAAATTAGTAAACTACTATGCGGTTGATAATTTCCTTTCTTTTCAATGCCTTTCCTCTTTATTTATTTTTGCTTGTGATTAAAGTCTGGATTGAATTTTGTTTTAATAGATGTTTGTGTTTGTGTTATTGTTTATAAATGTATTTTTTTATATATGTGAACTCCCCATAGCTATTGTTGAATAAGTATTTGGGGATGAATAATTTTGTTAATGTAAATTGTTATTTTTTTTTCCCAAATGTTAATTGTTTGTCAATTAATTTATCTACTGAGAGTTGCAATAGAGTTGTTTTTTGTTAATCTAATTTGAGGTAAAATAAAGATATATAGCATTCAAATAGTTTGAATTAGATCCGCAATTATCTTATTCTCTTCTTTTATTTTAGTATAAAAGTAGCAATCATTTTGTCACACACAAACTAGCTAGTGCATAAAAAGGTTAAGAGTCATCTGGGCATAATCTACCATTTGGCTCTGATTCTGATTAGTGAATCACTTGGGACTCACTCTCACAATCTCAACGTCATTAAGCTCAAAAACAACGTCGTTAAGCTCATAATAACATTAGTAAATGAAGTACAAAATTGCGATAAGTATTTTGGTGGATTCCTTTTTATCAAGACGTATACGATTATACTAAAATAGTACAAATCGCAATTTGTGACGCATTTGTTAAATACTAATCGTATTGGCACACACACACACGTAATTGCGTTTCTACATAGTAAAACAAATTTCCTCAATAATATAACTCGTAAAGTTTGATAAAAAAAAAAGATATACATAACTTGTAAAGAAAAAAGTAAGAAGAAAAAATATCAAAGCTTGCTGTAATAATAAAAGAAAGAATTAAATAAATAAACAAAAGAGTATTTCGTATTGATTTTATTATTATTACTTTTTTGCAGCCTATTTTGATCGTCTTCCACATCTGTCCAGCTGAATCTGGATTTAGTACTTTGAAACTCTCGAACCTGTGGATTTGATTTGATTCTCTGAAAAAAACGACGGCGAAGCTTTCCCGCGTAATCACTCTCTTTCTCTCTTAATTACTTTGTTTACTTCATTCTAGATTGTTCTTCCGTTACTAGTAACTACTACTTCTTCTAGGTCTCGAATCCATATTCACAGATCTCTGATCTTAGATCCTCGAGCTATAAAAGCTTTTGTGTTGTTTTCAATTCTAGGTCTCGGATAAGCTTTTCTTCTGTGATAAGAAGATTTAACGCAGATCTCGTCCTCATCGGAGATACGATTTCACTTTTTGCTGATTATCCCTTTGAGCTCAGCTAGGGTTCGTGTGTGTGCTTTTCGATTCCTTTCTATATAGTGATTTTAACCTGTTTGGATCGTAGCTTCTAGGTTATCGAGCATCGAATTTAACTTTGGGAATTGGAATTGAAGTTTTAACTATTCGGAATCGGTTTCTAGTGTCAGAGCTTCTGCGTAGTGCTACTTTAGGGACTTACTAATTTTAGTGCTTGTAAGATTTGGTTTCAGGCCTACTCCAAGTGCTATGCTGTGGAGTTTCATCATTTTCATAGCTTTTCCTCTCTTTAAGAAGTTTATCGTTTCATTCTTTTGCTGATAAAATAAATGAATATTGCTACTGAAATATTAAAGAGTGTGTCTCTTGTTTTCTCTAAACTGGTTCAGGTGGGAGCTTTGATGTCTATATGGTTATTGAGTTTCTTGATTTGAAAATAGAGAAAGAGATATGAGTTACTCGAGTGATGATCTTATGCACAGCTTCTACGACGAGTCACCAGCTGGTGGGAGGAGTAGTAGAGGGAAAGGAAGTGTCCTGAAGAAAGGACCATGGACTTCGAAGGAAGACGGGATTTTGATTAATTATGTCAATACCTACGGCGAGGGTAACTGGAGTGCTGTGCAGAAACACACTAGCTTGGCCCGTTGTGGGAAAAGCTGTCGTCTCAGGTGGGCTAATCATCTTAGGCCTAACTTGAAGAAAGGAGCGTTTAGCCCTGAAGAAGAACGGCTCATTGTGAAAATGCATGCCAAGATGGGAAATAAATGGGCACATATGGCTGAACAGGTAAGTAGTATTACAAGACCAGAACAACATTTTGTGGGTTGCTACTTGATTATAGTCCTGAAGTTTTATCTTGGTATTGTCGTTTTTTTGTTCTTCTTACCAGCTGCCTGGTCGAACAGATAATGAGATAAAGAATTACTGGAACACTCGTATCAAGAGGCGACACCGAGCAGGCTTACCACTTTACCCTCCTGAACTCCATGTTGAAGACCTGCAGTGGAGTGAGGAGTATATCACGAGCAATATCACTAGGGTAGATAGAAGAAGACATCAGGATTGCTTGCAGTTCGGGAATTCCAAAGCTGATGTCCTGTTTGACGATCTAAATTTTGCTACCAGCTTGTTACCTGTAGCTTCTGACGTATCAGATATGTTCACATGCAACATGCTAGGAACTGGTGGAAGTAGTTCCCCGTACGAAAGCTACATGCCACCAATATTACCTTCGCCGAAGCAACTCCGGGAATCTGGATCTCTGTTTCCCATGTGCAGCAGTAACATAAAGCAAGAATTCCACTCTCCGGAACATTTTCAGAACACTGCTCCACAAAAGAGTCCCAGATCTTGCAGTATCTCGCCGTACGGAAACCAACACCCATCTGATGTGTTGATTTCAGATAGCCATACCTTTACGGATGGCATGATTCCTACTTCTATTCCCTTGTTTGGGGCAGTGAAGCTGGAGCTCCCTTCATTCCAATATTCAGAAACTAGTGCGTTTGATCAGTGGAAGACGACACCGTCACCTCCACACTCAGATCCTCTTGACTCTGTTGATGCTTATATTCAATCTCCGCCACCATTGGAGATAGAGGAGTCAAGCGACACTGGCCTACTAGATATGTTACTTCCCAATGCCAAGATCAAAACTAGTGCGAAGCGTAGTATGGATCTCCCCGAGATTCCAATTCCCACGCAACTTAGTGCAGGTGAAAATTCACCAGGTGAGATCAAAGTCACTCGCTGATTGGTATCTAATCTTGTTGATTCTTTAGTTGCTGTCTTTGGTGTCTTGTGGCTGAGAGTCTCTTTTTCATATTTGTTGAAGATTCTGCAGGGAACTTGGTGAAGACAGAAGAGTTGGATCAACAGGTTTGGGAACCAAATAGAGTTGATATAACACGACCTGATGTTTTACTTGCATCGAGCTGGCTAGACCAACAAGGCTGTGTGGGGATTGTTAGAGACTCAAGCAGCATGAGTGATGCGCTTGCGTTTCTTCTTGGTGGTGAAGACATTGAAAACAGTTACGTTACTGTTGCGTCATCATCAGGTCAAACACAACAAGGAGTTGGGTCTTGCACATGGACTAATATGCCTCCTGTTTGGTCCTTGTAACAAAAAAATGAACCATATCACAGTTGTATCTTTCTATATTTTCATGCTATATTCATGTTATAGTTGAGACTTGAGACAAGATTTGTGAACTAGGGAAAAGTAAAACCCTGTTTGATTTCGATTTGTATGGTTTAGTTTTTGTAGCCCTGATAAATCAGATATCTCAAACCAAGTCATACTCAAACAATACACAAGATTAGGTAAAAGTATTAAGTTTGTAATAATAGTACAGAAGCAAATGAATCATTATAAAGAATAATAGAAGTTTCAAAGGTCTTGTTGATCTTGCAAAGTAACAGTGCCCCAAAGAGGATTCAAACCCAAAATTCTCATGGAGCTACGATAAAATTTAGACACCGGTTTTCTTGCTTCTGATAATCTCCTTAAGCTCTGCAAACTTCTTCTTGCATTGAATCACCGTCTTCCCAGGAACAGCTGCAGCTACTCTCTCCCATCTTTGATCACCTTAGCCAACTCTAGCCCTTGTTGGTTTCCCATCTTATCACATAGATTCTGCAATTGCTCGATGTTAAGTGTCATGCATAGATTCTCTATATCTTCCTGGGAAATGTCAAGCAGACGCTGAGCCACCAGAGGAGCTGAGAGGATTCTGAGACGGTTACGTTCTTTGCGTATGAGCTTCTTCTCCTTCTCCTTAGCTTTCTTTTGTTGCTGTGCAGATTCTACTGCTCGCTTTTCTTCTTCATCTTTTCGCCTTTTCTCTTCTGCAGCAGCAATAGCTGCTTCCTCTTCGAGCTTCTTCTTAGCCATAAGCTTTGCGTCTTTCTTCTGTTGCTTCTCGGCCTTTTCTTCTTCTTTTCTTTTCACAATTCTCGGGTCCTTTCTATACGCATTGTCAACAAGAGTCCGGATTCTAGCATGTTCCTTCTTTCTAGCCTTGGCCGTTGTTTTAGCATTCTCCTTCTCCATCCACCTTCGTTCTTCACGGGAATCTGCTTGTTCAAGATCATGCTCCTCTTCATCAGGAAACTCCCTCCAACTCTTGAAAGCGTACCAGAAGTTGTAGAACTTGTCAACATCTTTAAGCTTTGTGTTGTCATCTCCCAAATCCGGTATACGCTGATTCACCGACCACCTAGCATTTCTCTTAAAAGCTGGACCAAACACCTTGAAAAAGTCTTGTGGGGCACAATCCGTTGGAACCTCGTCATCAAACTCATCAGTTGAGTCAAATATTCTCCTCTTCATTGGATCCATGAGCACCTCATAAGCTTTTTGAATTGCTTTGAAGCGAGACTCTATCTCCTCTTTCTTTGCCTCCTTGGCTTCTTCAGTCTCCTCTGTCAAAAGGAGACTAGCGAGCTTATCCGGATGATGCTTCAACGCAGCTTCACGGTAGCTTTTCCTAATCTGATCTTCTGTAGCAAGATACCTCAAGTTGCTCAAACCCAACAACGCATAGTGGTCTTGATGTTGGGTACCAGACTTCTTCTTTCCTTTGTTGGAATATGAGTTGAATGAAGGAACATATTCCTTCTCTTTATCATCTCCCACTTTCTTGTCATCACCTTCACTGTCTGTGGGTTCCTCTGCACAACCATGGAGATTGAGAGCAGCGGAGTGGAAGGCATAACCAGCAGGTTCGCGGTTTAGAGCCTTCACAGGAAAAGAATTGGAAGAAGCATACAACGGTTTTCCATCCACAAGCTCCTCAGAGTATGTGATTAGCTTAATGGCAGAGACACTTGTCAGACTCGGCATGGTGAAAAATGGTTCAGAAGCTGCAAATCACGGTGATTTCTGTCACAAAGATTACAGAGATATTGTTAGCTTTGGGAAGCATTTTAAACGAGTCAGGCAAACATTCATCTACATTTGTTAACCAACCAGCAGTAGCAGTAGCAGTAGTAGACAAAGCTAAAGATATTTATTAGCAAAAGCTATGACTTAGAAAAAGTTAAACAAGCCAAGCCTCAAATCACAATCCCAACAGATTACATATTCATTTGGTCTATCAATACAGCTATACAAGGTCATCCAAGAAGATATAAACTTGAAAAAGAAACTTAAAACGAACTATGTATAGCAAAACCAAAGTCTGAGGGTTCAAGGCATGCTAAATTAATCAAAATTCAAGATTGTTCTACATCTACATCAAGTTTAACACAAAAGAAAAATGCAAAATCAACATATAGGACAGAACTTGATTCGGGAAGAACAAGAACACGCAGACAAATGATGCAGGTACAGATCCATATGGTTACTAAGCATCTAAAACACAGAATCTCATATGGTTTCTAAGCCAAGTGATAGTACATGTAGATTGATTTATATCCCATAAAATATAAGAAGAGTTAGAATCATGGTCTTTCGTTCTTTCGTTAGCTTTAGAACTATACCCCAAATAACTCAACAAGTAAAGTCATAAAACAGAACTAATCAAGTAAAAGAATTTTCAAATGGCAAAGGAAGACAAAAAAAAAAAAAAAAAAAGAAGCGAAACCCTTTTCATTACATACTTTTTTAGACTTACGCACACACACAACCACAATAATGATATTTTCGATCTTAAGGAAACTCCACAAAAAAATCTGATAGCAATTGAAAAAAAAAACAGTGTTAAAATCCACTTTTACTTACCAGACACTCCGATCCTACCGGTCGGAAGCCGCTCCGAAGATTACTAACCCCACGAGCTTCCTCCAAACCCGCGGCGGTGAGAGAGAGAGTAGACAAGTTCACGAATAGCGGCGGCAACGATTCGCTGATGGTAGAAGAGAAAGGGTTTTACCATCACGCAAATAGTTAGGCGTAGGCCCATTTAAACATTTATTGAGCTCAGCCTAGGCCCAGTTAACCAGTTATTGGGCCTTACTCCTACCGTCGCTGCAACAACCCGGAGCCTTGTACAGCCCACGCCGTGGAACGCGCGTCTTCGAGAGCTCGCTCGCCAATCACTATTCGCCGAATCAATCAGAGCACCCACAGTAGGGGTTTATATGGGGTTCATTGGGTAAGGTTCATTGATTTATTGGTCCAAAAATAAATCAAAATTGGGCTTTTTCTTGTGACCCGGGTCTCTCGAGAGAGCTCTTGTGAGCCCGTCTCATTCCACGTGTCGCGCAACGGGAGGGCCGACAATTAAGTTCGAAAACACGGAATCGAGAAATGAAAATCATTTTCTCCTCTTCTTCGCGAAAGTAGGGTTTGCTCTCTCCGAATGCGATTTTGGTGCGACGGCTCCTCTTCCGATTTCTCCATCAAATCGACCACTCTCCGTGTAGTCATCTTGCTCAGGTGAGTGTCGAATAGATTCAGGGTCTGTTCCTCGTCGATTTGGGATCGAAATCGTTTTCTCTTCTTTCCAAATCTGAAATCGATTTGGGGCTTTTGGGTTAGGGTTCTAAATACGGGTAGGGGGATCGATTTAGAACCCTAAAACGACAAGCATGTTTTGATTTACGGTTTGTTTTACTGTTTTAGGGTTAGGGTTTCAATTGAAAGGGGGCTTCGTTTTAGGGTTTAAAATCGATAAAGGGGGTTTCGATTAGGGTATAAAATTGACATGCATGTTTGATTTACGGTTTGTTTTACAGTGAATTGAAATCGTTTTGGGGTTTAGGGTTAGGGTTTCAATTGAAAGGGGGCTTCGATTTAGGGTTAAAAAATGATAAAGGGGGTTTCGATTAGGGTTTAAAATTGATTCACGGTTTGTTTAAAATTGATTTACGGTTTTATGGGGATTTTGGGTTAGGGTTTAGTGATTAATTCACGGGTTTTTTTAAATTGATTTACGGTTTTATGGGGCTTTTGGGTTAGGGTTCTAATTTGATTAACGGTTAGTTTAAAATTGATTTACGGTTTTATGTAGTTGTCTTTTATTAATTTTGTTTTCTTTTCTTGTAGAGATGGATCCTGCAGATGAGAGAAGAGCTTTCAAGAAAAATAAGGAACACATCGACATGTTATATGCCGTGGCTGATTCCCAATTTGGGATTCCAAAACAGTGTCCATGTGGAAGCAAAATAATCGATGAGGTTACGGGGAAACAAGACTACAGCCGCTTCTTCACGTGTGCTAACTACTCGGTAAGAATCGTCAATGTTTAATAAATCATCAATGTTTAATAAACAAGACTACAGCCGCTTATTTGTTTGTGTTACCAACAAGGATGACGGTTTACATTATCGTCATCCTTGGGTTATTGGCATCCAGGAGGAGATCGAGATGTTGACTAAGAGGGTGGAGAATGCTGAGCAGATGATAAATTCGATCTCTACAATCAATAAACAGATTGAGTTTTTAGAGGTTAGTTTTCTTGTTTAATTATTTTAGTGAACTATAGTTGCTAGTGTTTGTATAGCTGTTTAGTTTTTCTGTTTATTAACACTGTATTTTTTTGTGTTAATGTGGCCAGGAACAGGTGAAAGTCCTAAACGGGCAAGTTGATTATCTGACGGTGCACCTCCGTGACTTGGGGAGGCTCTGCTTCTTCTGAAATACAAGGTAATTCTCCTAAACTGAAGAATGGTGTTGAACGCTTAAGTCGATGGTGTTAGTTGTTGAGTGTGATGAATGCTTGCTATTAAAGGACTAGACTTACTAAAATCGTAGACTTAAAATCAACAATAAATTAAAAGAGTAGACTTTAAAAATATTTTAAAAGAGTAGGCTTTTAAAAATATTTGGTTGTTGGCTGTGATTAAAACGAACAAGAACGTTAAAGCTGTTTGGTTGTTGGCTGTGATTAAAACGAACAAGAACTTATTAAAAGAATAGACTTTAAAAATATTTTAAACTTACACAATCTTTAAAAGCCTGTCTTGGTTGTTGAGTGTGATGAATGTTTCTATTTTCGTACTGATTTGATGTGTTATAATGAATGGTTGTTGTGACAAGGTTGTTGTGCAATTAAGTATAATCAATTTTGGTAGTTAGATTGTGTCTAAAATGTAGTATAAAAACACTTTCAATCCACTTATAAAATCACATTAACTTAAAAACACTTAAGAAAACCTAAACCATAACCGAGAATGGATCCTTTTTCCTCAAGCTCTCCCGGGTTTGTTGACCTATTAGCTTCGCAGTACAGTCCAATAGACTTGGACTATGCTGAAGCAGTAAGCAACTCTCCCGGGTCTGTTAAACCATTGATTAAGAGAAAGTGGTTAGTGAAAGAGGATCTTGTGCTCATCAGTGCCTGGTTGAACACCAGCAAGGATCCGATTGTTGGTAATGAGCAGAAGGGGGGATGCTTTTGGAAGAGAATCGAGCAATATTTCAACTCTAGCACTCAGCTCACTGGCTTTGTTCCTAGAGAGTGGAGCCAGTGTAAGCAAAGGTGGGGAAGAATCAACGAGCAAGTATGCAAGTTCGTGGGAAGCTACGAGGCGGCTATGAAGGCTCAAGGAAGTGGCCAATCTGACAATGATCTCATGACGTCTGCTCATGCCATCTTCTTCCTAGACTACAAGGTCAAGTTCAACATGGAACACTGTTGGAGAGAGTTGAGGTTCGATCAGAAATGGAAGTCACAGTCGCTGTCCAAAGATGGTCCGAAGGAGAAAAGGCAGGAACACCCACAGGTTGTGCCTGACGAGGAAGAGGCTAGACCTCCGGGAGTGAAGGCTTCCAAAGCAGCCAAGCGGAACAAAGTCGGGAAAGGACCAGCTTTCGATCAGATAGAGACCATTCTTGCAATGAGACAAGACATTAACAAGCAGAAACTGCTTGAACGTCTCCTTGCCAAAAAAGAAACAGAACTTTCACCTAATGAAATCTCTCTGAAAAATAAGCTCATATCTGAAATGGTTGATTGAATGGTAGCATTGTCTTAGCTTTTTTGTTTGCTTTATTGAATATTTGCTTCTGTGATTCTTTACTGATTAATTTTTATTTCTTTTTGCAGGTACTGTGGTGTTCAAGAATGCAAGAAGCAGTGAAGTATTTTGGGAGTTGTAGGTCAAGGATGTAGTGTAGTGTTCACGGATGCAAGAAGCAGGGTAGTATTTTGTTTCTTTCTACTCTGTTTTGGATGTATTATTTCGGGTGTGGCAGGTCACGGGTAGTGTTTTGGTCTCTCCTGTCTGTTTTGGAGAGGTCACGGGTAGTGTTTTGGTCTCTCCTGTCTGTTTTGGAGAGGTCACGGGTAGTGTTTTGGAAATGTCACGGGTGTACAATTTTGTTTCTTTGTACACGGATTGTTGTTGTAGTAGTAGTCACGGATTATGTACTCCCTCCCTTTATAAAAACTATGTCTCTTTGTTTCATTTCTGCAAGAACGAAAATACTTTCAGTTTCTATAACTCTCTCTTTGTTCTCCCAAACCTCTCTACAACAAACCTAGGCTACAACAAATTCATCAGAGCATCCAAACTTGTTTCTTTAAAAGGTTTTGTTTCAATACAAATTCTTCTTTGTTTATACACATTCTATTTTCCCTATCTTGTTTATAACATACATGGTCTTTTTTTTTTGGGTTCAAAACATATATAATCTCTAAAAGTATCAAAATATTTGTTTATTCAACTTAGTAAAGTACATCTAATTCTATTCTTTTGTTTGCGTAAATTTGAATTAGTAAAGTATCAAAAATCCATCCAAATTTACAGTTTTGAGAATATGATTATTAATCAAAAATCCATCCAAATTCTATTCTATTCTATTCAACTTAGTAAAGTATCAAAAATCCATCCAAATTTGAATTATAATTGTATGTTAACATCAAATATATTTTTTTGTTGTTGTTAGGATATTTAAAAAATGTCTTCCTCGTCAAGTGATCAAGAAGATGAAGTTCTTGATGAAATAGTCGATCAACATGTGGATGATTTGGTCGACTCTTTTCTGGATGGTCTACACAACAAGCCGAAAAAACGAGCTCACATCGAAAGAAATCGGGAACAAGGACACGTACAACTTTGGAACGACTATTTTTGTGACAATCCTACATACTCACCAGAAATGTTTAGGAGGCGTTTTCGAATGAACAAGCCTTTGTTCCTTCGCATTGTCGATCGTCTCAGTAATGAAGTTCCGTACTTTGAACAAAGAAGAAATGCTCATGGAAGGTTAGGGCTTTCTGCNTCGAAAGAAATCGGGAACAAGGACACGTACAACTTTGGAACGACTATTTTTGTGACAATCCTACATACTCACCAGAAATGTTTAGGAGGCGTTTTCGAATGAACAAGCCTTTGTTCCTTCGCATTGTCGATCGTCTCAGTAATGAAGTTCCGTACTTTGAACAAAGAAGAAATGCTCATGGAAGGTTAGGGCTTTCTGCACTTCAAAAATGTACTTCAGCTATTCGAATGTTGGCATATGGTCAATCTGCAGATTCAAATGACGAATATCTCCGACTAGCCGAAAGTACTGCACTTTTATGTCTGGAAAATTTCAACGAAGGTATAATACATTTGTTTGGAGATGAGTATTTAAGAAGACCTACGGCTGAAGATCTTCAACGATTACTCGATGTGAGTGAGGTTCGCGGTTTCCCAGGGATGATAGGAAGCATCGACTGCATGCATTGGGAGTGGAAAAACTGCCCAACGGCTTGGCGAGGCCAGTACACACGTGGTTCGGGAAAACCGAGCATTGTCTTAGAGGCTGTGGCGTCACACGATCTATGGATATGGCACTCATTTTTCGGCTTACCAGGTACACTGAACGATATTAATGTTCTTGATCGGTCACCAGTGTTTGATGACATTTTACAAGGGATAGCTCCTAAGGTTAATTTTAAGGTCAACAACCACAACTATCGCATGGCGTACTATCTTACCGACAGTATTTATCCGAAATGGTCAACGTTTATCCAATCCATCAGACTTCCTCAAGGTGCTAAAGCAGAGCTATTTGCTGAACGTCAAGAATCCACGAGAAAAGATGTCGAAAGGGCTTTCGGAGTATTGCAATCGAGGTTTGCAATCGTTAAAAACCCAGCTCTACTATGGGACATAAATAAAATAGGGAGGATTATGAGAGCTTGTGTCATACTGCACAATATGATAGTTGAGGACGAACGACATTCATACACTCTTTATGATACATCTGAGTTCGAGACAGGAGAGTCAAGCAGAAGTTCCCAAGTTCACACG